TGCGATCTGAAATGTCGCCAGAAATTACGTCCAATGATCCCAGAGTGCTGATTTTCCATGTTTAGAGGAATATATCATCATTTAATTTAAGCACAGGAACAAATATACTCACGTTTTGTACAGACCGTCAAACTCGCAAAGTCCACGTTCTCGACGCGACGTGCTGACACCAGGTGGACGGCTTGAGCATGCGCAACATGTCTCCTCTTTGAAAATTTACTTCCTGTCGCGTCTTACAGCCGTCGCGTCTCGGATCTTAAAGTCCCTATTGACGAGTAGGCAAACGTGTGAGAAATTACAGTGTTTGTATGAGAATCTGATGTCGAATAATTTCCGTAGAATGGCTGTTCTGAACAAAATGTCAATTGTAAACTAAAGCTACAAAGCAAAGGATTGCCCTAAAAAAATTGGGGGGCATACCTGTGCTTAAATTTCTCCAGAGGCTTGCTTTAGATTTTCCATATATTTGTCTCCAATTTTCCCGGGACTTTCTTACAGACAAATGTATAGAAAATTTTAAAAAGTGGTTCTAGGTCTTCTAGTGCATGTAACGCCCTCAAACTTTTTCAGGAGAATCCTTAGGAGTGAAGCTTTAGTTTACAAATCATATTTTTTTCAGAACAGCTGTTCTATGGAAATTATTCGACATTAGATTCTCATACAACGAATCACTGTAATTTCTCATGCGTTTGCCTACTCGTCAAGATGGCGTCGAAAACCGTGACAAGGTCTATTAATTAGCTCTGACCTCATTTGCATTATGTTAAAATTTCTAGAAAATCACTAGTCGCTCTATACTTTCGATCGATTTTCAGGCTGTTTTGCTTAGATATTGAAGAAAAAAATCATTTCAACTGTATTACACAAAATAGTCAACTCTCCTGCCAAAGTTGCATTCTTTATTAATGAAATTTTTAAAATACGCTGTGGCTATATGCCCGGCAGGGTTGGGTCTTACTAAATGAAATCCCTTTAGTCAAAATCCCTTTTTCTAATCGTCTGAAAGGACAGTATTCCATCTTCGTCCAAAATCATCAAGCGATCAGGAAAACAGGGATAGATTTGCAGTTGAGCGGTTGTGGTTTCTTGATCATAGAGTAGAGTCGGGTTGGACACTTAGAAAAATTTCGTGAGTAGCAGCATGTGACTCACGCGTACGTTTTCGCACAGGCCAAATACCGGGCAGTCCGAGAGGCGACTGGAAAGTAAGAAAGCCTGTTGTTAAGCCGAAGAATACATACTTGCCTCCTTTATTTTCCCAAAGCAATAACGAAGATACAGTGCTTTCATTTTGAGACCTCATTTGCAAGGCCTCTAGCCACTGCAAGCTAAACGGCTCTTGACACGGCTTGAGTCTTACAAAACAGGCTCCTCTAATTTTTTTAATTGGTGAAGAATACTGTACTTTCAGACGATTAGAAAAAG